TCCCTACCCCCGCCCCCACCCCCAAGGGGTGACTTCAACACTGTCCAGGATGGCATGTTCCACGAGCTCAACCACGCCAAGTTTGGCTGGTTCCACGTGAAGGCCATCCTCATCTCGGGCGTCGGCTTCTTCACAGATGCCTATGGTGCGCCTCCGCAGCCGCAGCCCCCTCCACGCACCTGCCGTGGCGCCTGGTGCCGCCCGCCGCCGCAGCCGCGGCGGCTTGCGCGGCGGCGGCTTTGGCGACGGGTGTGGCGCGCCGAGGGGCACCCTGCGGTGGCGAAGGGATGGCAGAGGGCGAGCTGCTGCTCGGCGCTTTGCGTGCTGCGGACGGTGCAGCTCGCCCGCCTGCGCACCCCCCGGACTGTCACCTTGCCACCCCCATCCCAACACACACACACACACACACGTGCGCGCGCGCGCGCCCTTTTCGGACCCCAGACCTCTACACTGTGGGCCTGATCTCCCAGATGATCGCGTACGCCCGCTTCCCGGGTGAGAGCCAGCCCTGAAACTTGAAAACTTTGGCCGCCTGCGCCGCGCAGGCCCTGCGCACGCCCCAGCCCTGAAGAGCCCCCAGGGCCGGCGAGCGCGGTGCCAGCAAGGTCATCTTATTATGATGTCCAGGGTAGAGCAGCAAAAGAGGACGTCTCCATTTGTCGGGCGTCGCCGGGTCGCGTTCTCGGACCCGCAGCACTTGTCAGCCGCCCCGCCCGGCGCAGCCTCGGCCTTTGTATCCCAGCCTCGAATCATTCTGCGCGTGCGTCTGTCACACAACTCCCCAAAAAAGCTCACGCCGCTGCGCCACCCCTGGACCCCCCCTCCCCGGCTCTTCCTGACACCCCTGACGTCCCCGCCCCCCCGGCTTCCGCGCCCAGACCACCTCAACGCCAAGGGCGCGTACGGCAGCCTGCCCACCAACTACGATCTCGTCGTTAAGGGCACGGCCCTCATCGGCACGCTGGTCGGCCAGGTGGTGTTCGGCCTCCTCGGAGACAAGTTCGGCAGGTGCGGCGGGATGCTTAGAATGCTGTGCTTTCGCAGAACAAGCAGGCCGCAGTCATGGAGGGCAGGCGGGGCCTGTCGGCGTCGTCCGCTGCCCGCGCCTGTCGTTTTGGTTGAAGTGCAGGGCAGGCCTGCAGAGAATTGCGGCCCGCGGCCGGCGGGCGGCACGTCATTGACCCATGGAACCCTGTCGGTCCCCCCCACCAACCCGCAGGAAGGCGCCCTACGGCTGGACCCTCATCATTATGATCGTGACCACCGTCGGCTGCGCTGCCGGCACATGGGGCACCCGTGAGCAGCCGCAGGGCCGCAGCCGGGGCTGCAGCCGGGGCCGCAGCCGGGGTCACAGGGAGGCGGGGCTGCCGCGCCGCACACCCTTGCGAGCGCATCACGCACGGGCTCAGCCGCCCAGCGGCTAGGCTGCCCCGAGGGCTCATTGCAAGCGCACCCTCCCGTCCCAGCAGCCCGCCCGCCTTTCTCAACCCATCAGAACAATATTCACGCATCCCCCTACGCCCCGTTCTCCCACAATCACGCGCAGCCGCCACTTTCATGGGCGTCTTTGCCATGTGGCGCTTCCTGCTCGGCATCGGCATGTGAGAGCGCTCCCCATACAAGGCCCGCCCGCACCGCGCATCTTGGCGCCCGCCCGCCACGCACGTACTGACAAATGTTGCCCTGTCCCAGTCGCGGCAGTCTCGCACACCCCTTGTGCAACCACGCCCCTTCTGTGCCGCTCTCTGCCATTCTCGGAAACCAAATTTGAAATCTTGCCAAACCCCTCTGGCCCCCCCCCCCACCTCCACCCTACCTGATGACGTCAGCGGCGGTGACTACCCCCTGTCTGCCGTCATCACCTCCGAGTACACCCCCCGCCACATGCGCGGTGCCATGATGGCGGCGGTGTTTGCCATGCAGGTGAGGCGCATGGGGTCCCTGCAGTGGTTGGCTGGGTGGTGGCCGTTTCTTGTGCTTAGCAGGCCGTGTTCCCGTCGCCACTGGTCACGCGCGAAAGACCCTTCGAATTCTAGCGGGTCAGCTGGGACTGCCGCTAGGTTGTTTGCACCTAATTTTGAGTAGCTCGTGTCTTGTGTTGGTATGCCATCGGCGCGAGGGTCTACGGGCCACACGTCCTGCAACCGCGTCGTGCCTGCAATGCTCAAGTGCAGCACAGCCTTATCTGGGGGCTGGTAGGCTGTGGATAGCTCCTTTGTACCCCAGGCACCCCCACCTCAAGCACGCTGTTTCTTCGACCCAGCCACATGCAGGCATGCACACACGCACACGCGCGCACAGGCGACCTGCGCCCCCCCCCCCCACACACACAATCACAAATCACCACCCGCACAGGGCATCGGCTTCCTGGCAGCTTCCATTGTCGCGGTGATCGTGGTGGTTGCCTTCCAGAGCGCCATCGACTCGGTGAGGGGGGCCGCGCGCGCCGATGCTGCATGACTCATCTTGTATCTGGGTGTTCTCGGCACGAGTGCGGCACCGGTGCCCGTGGGTGCCTGCGATCGTGTGTTCCCGTATCCCACGTGCAGATTGCGCGTGTCACCGCATGCAGGGCCTGTGAACTCCGTGTTGCATGTGTGCAATTCGCGCGCAGCAATGAGCGCCGCAAACGGCCCCCTCGAGCGCTCACCATCAAGAGCGCACCCTCTCATCCCCCTGACACCTGCCATCTCATCCCCATGACCCCTCACCTTCCTCGGTCACGACAACGCAGTGCACCGCCGGCGAGGCCTGCATGCCCCTGGACCACGCCTGGCGCATCATCGTGGCGATCGGCGTGATCCCCGCCATCGCCACCTACTACCTGCGCACCCGCCTGCCCGAGACGCCCCGCTTCACCGCGCACGTGGAGAAGGTGCTCCCCCCCCCCGCGCCCGGCTGCGCCTGCAGCCCCCTCCGCGTCGGCCCAGGCCGCTGGGTCCTTTTGGCGAATTCCAATGCCGCCGCGGCGCTGCGGGATACGCCGAGCCTAAGCACCTGCGGTCCGAACACTCCTGGGCTGGCGGTCGTCCGCCATCCCGCACATCTCCCACCCTTAGTTCTCAAACCCCTCTGCCCCCTCACCTCCCGCGGTTGCTTCCCGTTTTCCAACCCTGCAACCCCCTGTGCCCCTCCGCCTTCCGCAGGACCTGACCAAGGCCGAGGCCGACATGGTGTCCGTCTTCAACAACACCGACGAGTTCCGCAAGCTCGAGAAGAAGACAGACGTGGCCACTGACAACGACGCCATCACATTCCGCGACTTCAAGAACTTCCTCTCCATCCGCCGCAACGCCATGGTGCGCCGCGCAGTGCCCTTTTCTGGGGGGTGGGGGATGGCGCCTCCGCTGGTGACTTTCCCTCCTCAAATTCTTGGGGGTGTGGGCAGAGTGGTTGTCAGGGCAAGGTGCTGCTCCTCTCGTCCCTGACGGGCAGGGGGACCGGCGATCCCTGACGGGCAAGGGGACCGGCGACGAAACGCAGCACGCTAGGCCCGCTGTCTGCCAGCTGCCGCCGTACCTTTATAACGCAGTGTTGCTGCTGCCTCCACCGCTTCACACCCTGACCCCTGCTCCCACCGTCCCCACCCCCTCCCTGCCCCCTTCCCAGTGGCTGTTTGGCACCTGCTCTACTTGGTTCCTGCTGGACATTGCCTACTACTGCCAGGTCAGCGCAAAGGGGTATTTCAGGCAGCAGGCGTGCCCAGGAATACTCTAGTTATGACAGTCACCATCGCTCAAGCTCGCCGCGTCTTGCCAGTGTGGATGGGACAGGCCCCAACCCGATGCCCCGCGCCCAGTCCCTTTTGAGGCCTCCTTTCGCATTCCGCACTCTCAAATCATCAATGGACTGCCGCTGTATTTGCTTACAAGCATTTGTGACCCATACTGACTGACACCCCGCGCCCCCCAACCCGCCGCCCCCTGTTCCACAGAACCTCTTCACCCCCAAGGTGGTGGGTGACATCGGCTACAGCGTGTCTGTCAAGCCCGGCGGCACCGGCCGCGACATCTACCACGCCGTGTACGCCAGCACCACCGGCACGGCCATCATCATCCTCATGGGCCTGGTGAGATGCTGGGGTGTGCGTGTGTGTGTTAATTTGTGTGTATTTGTGAGTGTGTGTGCGCGCGCGCGCGTGTGTGTGTGTGTGTTGTGTGGTTGTGTGTTGTGGGGCAAGGCGTTGATGGGCACAAGCTTGCGAGCCGTTCAGTGCAAGCTGGCTTCCTGGCCGCACACCCTGCGCGCGCCCCGCCAACAACACAACACCCCCGTGCCGGACCCTGCCCCTACCACGCTGACCCCAGTCACCGATCCTGGCCTGGCCCCCTGCTCCCCCCCCCCCAAAAAAACCCGCCAAAACCCTCAGGTCCCCGGCTACTTCGTGACCATCGCCACCATCGAGAAGCTGGGCCGCAAGACCATCCAGTTCATGGGCTTCATCATGATGACCATCCTGCTGGTGATCTGCTCCGCCGCCTGGGTGCCGCTGCGCGAGAAGGCCATCTGGGCCTTCATCGTGATCTACGCGCTCACCTTCTTCTTCGCCAACTTCGGCCCCAACACGTGAGAGCGCATCCGGCGGCCGCGGGGCGGGCGGGGGTGCAAATTTGTGGAGTGTGCTCGTGCGACGGCGCCCAGCCGTCGCTGCCCTGGTCGGGCTGGGCCTGCATAGCTCATTTTCATGAGCGTCTCCAGCCAAGGTTGTTTGCAAGCCCTGATTCTGTCGCGCTCCAACCCCGTGCTTCGAACCCGCCTTCCCGATAGAGCGCGTGCAACGCCCTCCTCACCTCCCCCCATCAAAAACCTAAAACCACGCCATTCTTTTTCACACCCACAGCACGACCTTCATCGTCCCCGGCGAGTGCTTCCCCACCAAGTACCGCGCCACCTGCCACGGCCTGTCCGCCGCGTGGGGCAAGGCCGGCGCCATCGTGGGCGTCTACGGATTTGGCTCCGTCAACGACCTCTACGGCACCCAGCTGTGCCTGGGCCTGCTCGCCATCTTCATGGCGCTGGGTAGGTTGATGTTTTTTTTTGGGGGGGGAGGCGGGGGCGAGTGAAGGGGCGGGTTGTTGGGGGTGCAGGAGCGGTTGCCGCTTGCTTCTCCTCCGACGTCGGCCCGAGCGCCCAGGAGCGTCCATCGCGCGTGGTAGGGGGGCGGCGCCGTGGGTGCCTGGCGCAGCCTGTGGCGACGCCCGCCCGCCTCGTTCCCAGCCCCCGCGCCCGCACCAGCGGCCCGCACCCCCATCTGACAGCCCGCGCCCGTCCGCCGCGACCATCAAATCTATCTTGCCAGGCACCGTGTGCACCGTGTTCATCCCTGAGACGCGCGGCTTCTCACTGGAGGAGCTCAACGAGGAGCAGGTGCCCAAGCACGTCAACCTGGCGGAGCAGGGCACCAAGCAGGCCGTCAACTGATCTTGACCAGGCGGTCAAACGAGCGGCGCAGCGGTCAACGCAGCGGGCGCTCGGCCGCGCCGGCCGAGCGGCCCGCGGGCTGGCTTCGCGCGGCGCGGCGGCGGGCGGCGCTGCCCAGTGAGGATTGAGTCGCGCGCGGCGGTCCGTGTACGGCGCGATTTGTGCAGTGAACAGGCGCAACGATCTTGGACATATACACCTGCGGTGTCATCAGCAATGGCGATTATGTGATTAGTCATTTCCACTTCGTGCTGCATCATCAGCCGCCCGCTCTAGCGGGTCCTGCCGCTGCTGGGAGGGGGCTGCGCGCCCCATCCTTAGCGCGAGGGCCCACCCACGGCGGGGGGCGTGGTCGGCGGGGAGTGTGTGCAGCGCGGGTGCACTCAACCGGTTGCCTGCACGCCAGCATGCCGGCGCCTGTTGCTTCGACGCGCCTGGCCGGTCTCTCGTCGGCGGCGCCTGTTGCGCCTCTTGACCGCCCCTGGCAGCTGGCGGCAGGCGCCCGTCAGTCGCGCTGCACTGCTCCCCACACATCATGATCGTTCAAAGGGGCATCCGGTCGCCAAACCAACTCAAGCTCTCCGCACTCTCTGGAGCGGGCATTTGCACATGTTGGTGGGTCGTGTGGGTGCAGCCAGCACCCCTCTCACCGCCCGCGGGCCTGCAAGCAGGCAGGAAGCGCACCTGCCACCTCTAATCTCGGCACACGGCGCACGCACACCGAGCGCGCCCGGTTGCCGGCCCGCCCGCTGCCACTTCCGAACGATTTCCTCGCGTGCGCATTTTTATAGTTGCACTTTGCGCCGCCAGCTGTTTTCACAGCACGCACGCCGCAAAACGTTAGCGCCAACCGTCGGCAGGAGTGCATCCCGGCCTTTGTTAACGGCCACCGCCGCCCGAGTTGTGCCATTCAGCGGCAGCCCCTTGCTGGGGACCGGCCGGGCGGGAGGTCGGCGGTCACCGCCCCAGATGGATATGAAGGATTATATTTGAATCACGAGTCCTATTTTCTGATTGTCGATGCAAAGTAACTGTGCATTACATGCTTTTGTGTGGTGCAGCTCTTTAGTGGCGGTCGAATCAGTCCAGGGGTGTGTGGGGGCGGGGGCGACTGCACTTATGGCGACACGGCTGTGTACCGCGAAGCGCTCGCTAGCTTGGACGCGGCCGCAACACGTGGGGCAGAGGGTCGAAGGCCCTGCAGGCCCTGCCGCTCTCAAAGGCCTGCGGCGCGCCCACCACGCCCAGCGAGCAGCCCAGCAAGGTGCGTGCAATCGGGACGCCCCTGGCCGCCGTCATGTGCCAGACCACTTTCCGGCATGATGTTGTCCGCAGGGGGGGCAGGCACTCCAGCAGCAAGGCCAGCAGTGACGGGGGCCGCCTAATGATGTCAGCGCAGAAGCCGCGTCTCTCAGAAAAAACCTGCCATGTTTCTTCAATGTTTTTTCCAGTAAAATATCTTCCAAGTATCACAACCATGGCTCAGTTGTGAACAACGAGCATTTTGGGAGCCCATGGAACAAGGATATCAACCTGCTAGGAGCTCATTCAACATCATTTTTAGGTGATGATCACGTAACTGCTGTCATGAGGCAGGGTCAAACGGTGCACTCAGGTGGGCGCCGCTCTCCCGTCGCCTTTTTGGAGAACGCGGGACTGCAATTGAATGGCCGCTACAGCTGCGGCTACCGCCGGCAGCGGCTGCCAGCAAGCTGGCAGAGGGAGTGCTGCCAGCCAGTGGTGCGTGACGCTGGCCCGAAGCTGACACGGGACATTCACATTGAGGATTGCTCAACCAAAGTCGTTACACCTCAGGCCAGCAACACGTGGGTCACGCGTGTGTGTTTTATTTGCAGTCGGACAGGGCATGTGTGCTGATGCCTTGGGACACAAAGACACCAGAGCGCGCTGATGCAATGGCTAATGTGGTGGTGTGGCGGTGCAGCGCCCATGCACATGCAGCACTGGGATCCAACGGGTCCCAGGTAGGGAGTGCACCGCGCGAGACAACAATCAAGTGCGTGGCAATACTTCAACAATGTGCATGCAAAGGCTCCGGCAACGCAGCTGGGACGAATGCAGGCAGCACGCACACTGCAATGCACTGCATTTTTGATGCCGGCAACGGGGTGCTGGCGCCGCACAGGTGGGCGGTGTGAGCGGCGAACGAGTAATGCTGGACCAAGCTGCCTCCACATGCCAGCGGCTTCCGCGGTGATGGGGCCAGCTGCGAGTCCAACCTATTGCCGATGGCGTTTTTTAGTATAGTGCCATGGGCCTGGCTGCAGGGCTGCTAGTGGGGGCGTCAGTGCGACATGCGGCAGCGGCGGCGGCGGCAGCGGCGGCAGCGGCGGCGGCGGCGGCGGCGGCGGCGGCGGCGGCAGCGCTGCCGGCGCGAGCGCACCAACCGCGCCGCACAGAAGCCCTGTGTTTTTAACGTGTGGGGCCTCGCCGGCTGCGCACAGCAGCACGTGCTGCTGCTGCTGCAGATGCACCTGCTGCAGATGCACCTGCTGCAGATGCACCTGCTGTTTGCTGCTCTGGTGGTGGCGGCTGTGGTGCGGCGGCCCCCGCTCGCAGCTGCGCCAGCTGGCCCTCGTAGGTGGCTGCCTCCGCGACGCGCCTGGCCTCAGCTGCCTCCGCCCTGCGCCTGCTGCTCTCCACCTGCTGTTGCATTTCGACCATGCGCGCAGCGTCGCGCTCGGCCCGCGCCCGCGCCTGCTGCTCCAGTACCTCCAGGCGTTCCTTCCTCTCTGCAGCGAGCTGCTCCGCCGCAGCGAGCCGCTGCTGCAGCCGGTCCAGCCTCGCCTGCGCAGTGGAGAGTTCTGTCCTCAGACGCCTGGCCGTGAGGCGGGCCCCGGACCCGCGGCTCGTCGCACC